TTCAAACCAGGTCGTTATGGTGTCGATGGAGCCTATGTAGAGGAGGTCGTATACGTAGACGATGAGTAGGATATAATCAGTACCCTTCGTGAGTCGGTACATCCCTTGGTCGTGCGGTAGTTGGAGGAATCCGATGCGGATTAGGCGGGCGTGAAGATGCTGCTGCCACAGTCTCGGGGCTTGTTTGATGCCGTACAGTGACTTTTCCAGCTGACAGACTTGGTTGGGGTCTGCGTTAGACCCGTGTGGGAGTTCGACGAAGATCTCAGCATCGACGGGGGCGTAGAGGAATGCATTGGCGACATCGATTCGTCGAAGTTTCTTCCGGTTCATGGCGGCTATCGCGAGGAGAATCCGCAGTGAGGTATGTCGGCTTACTGGTGCAAATGTTTCCGTGAAGTCTCGTCCTTGCTCTTGGTCGAAGCCACGCACGACCCAGCGTGCTTTGAATTTGTCGATTGTTCCGTCGGCTTTTGTTTTCACGCGAAAAACCCATTTTCCCGTGAGGATGGTCTTGTTGCGTACCACTCCGATAGGCACGACTTTCCAGGTGTTGCGTTCTTGCAGCGCCTTTAACTCTCTGTCCATGGCTTCGCGCCATTTTTCCCTGTGTTCCCCTCCCAGAGCCTGCGGAATGTTGGCAGGCTCCTTAGGAGGTGCTGTTCCGTGGACAGCGGTGACGAGTCCCAGTATCTGCAGTCCACTCTGTGTGTAGCGGGGGAGATTTGTGTCCTCAGGATAAGCTGCTTCATCTCCCGCTTCTGGATCCGGTAGGAAATTTGGTCCTGTGCGCTCGGAGACGTTGGTGTCGACTGGTTGGGGTGTAACGTAACCGGTGTCGGCGAAGTCGAAGTAGGTTTCTGCGTTGACACTTTCGCGAGGGTTGTCGTCATCCATGGGGATGTCCACAGAGCAGTACGGAAGAGGTCCGGCTTCTTCCGAAGCTCCGTCCACGTTCTGCTCGTCCTAGTCAGCTTCGTCTGCTGCTGAGGCAAAAGCTCGGTTGCCACAGAAGCCGCCCGTGAGGTCTCGATTTGCTGCCAGGTTGTCCAGGTACGTTTGAAGTGGGAGTCGCTCGTAGAAAATGACATCACGTGCTGCTACTGTTTCCTTCGAGTGGATGTCGAAAATCTTCCATGCGTTGTAATGCTTTTCGATGCCCAGGTGTAGCCCCCACTGTGCGCGTTGGGAAAATCTTCCGGCTCTCGCAGTGTGCGGTCGGTATTGTACCATGCACCCAAAAACTCGTAACATTTTTGTGTTGCCCAATTTTCCTGTCCACAGCAGGTGCGGTGATGCGTTGTTCGGGAGCGATGATGACGAGAGCAGGTTGTGCAGCATGACAGCGTGGTCCGTCGCATCAGGCCACTGGTGGTTGGGCAGTCGCATGCCACGCAATAGTTTGCGCATGGTGTTCTTGAGAGTTCTGTTCATCCGTTCTGCCACGCCTTCCCGCCGCCCCTTCACTCCTGGCCGTAGCAGGTCTTGACCCGCTTGACTACTCCGCTGAGTTCGGAGCAGTGCAGGTACTGCTGACGGGGCAGTTTCTTCGTGAGGAAATCTGCTGCCACGTCACCCGTCGGGCAGTAGGTTAAGTCAACCTTGCCCTTGTCAACTTCGTCCTTGACGAAGAAGTACCGCAGTGCGATGTGCTTGGTGCGGTTGACGAAACCAGACTTGTTCGCGATTCTTATCGCACTCTGATTGTCGCAGTGCAGGCGAAAGTTCGCCGAGGCCGGAATTTTCGCCTCCTGTAGCAGCTCCTGAAGGTAGAGCCCTTCGCGAACAGCTGCTGTTGCTGCGATGAACTCCGTTTCTGCCGATGACAGGGCAACCAGCTCCTGCTTTTGTGAGTTCCAGGAGATGGGGCCGCTGGGCTCGAGGCGGAAGAGGAAACCTGTCCTGTACCGTCGATTGTCGGGATCGGCGGCATGATCAGCGTCCACGTAGCCGATGAGACTGAAAGATGCGGTTGGGGTGGTGGAGTAGCAGAGCCCAACATTGGGCGTGGAGATGAAGAATTGAAGTGCTCGCTGAAGATCTGAGAGATTCTCAGCCGTTGGTTTGCGTGAGTACTGGGCCAGCTGACTTGCAATGTAGGATAGGTCTGGCCTACAGGTGACTGAGGCAAAGAGCAGGCATCCCAACTGCTGTTGATAAGTCTAAAGCCCAGCTGGGGATATGGTTTTGTTGTCAGGCTTGTGGTTGGGTCCTGGAGTGCGGTAAGGGGTGGAGAGCGGTGCAGGTTTAATGTTGAAGCGCTTGCCAAGTTCCTCTGCGTACTTGGCTGCTGAAAGGTGAATGGCTTCCGGCGAGTAGGTGATGTTGAGGCCGAGGAACTGCTTCACGTCGTGGTTGCAGGTGATGTCGACGCGCCCGGCGAGGTTTTTCTCGAACTGCTCGAGTAACTCGGGGCTTGACCCTGTGTAAAGCAGATCATCGACGTAAACCGTGAGTAGGATGTATTCGCCGCGGAAGTCGCGGCAATACATCCCTGGATCGTGAGGCAGCTGCTTGAACCCGATTTCAAGCAGGATGTTGTGCAGATACTGCTGCCAGAGTCTCGGCGCTTGTTTAATCCCGTAAAGGGATTTTCGTAGCTGGCAGACACGTGGGTCCCCGTCGTCGTACGTGTGCGGCTGCTCCACGTAGATCACTGCATCTACTAACGCGTACAGGAACGTGTTCTTCACATCAATCTGCCGGAGCGGTAGGTGTCCTGCGGCAGCAATGGCGAGGAGGATTCTGACGGATGTGTGACGGCTGACCGGTGCGAATGTCTGGTCGAAGTCAATGCCGTGCCTCTGATCGTAGCCGCGCACTACCCAGCGTGCCTTGAATCGTTCGATCGTCCCGTCAGCTGCGGTCTTCACGCGGAAGACCCATTTGCCGGAGAGGATCCTTCTCCCCTTCACTGCTGCACGGTCGACGAGTACCCAGGTGTCGCGTGACTCGAGTGCCCTTATCTCCGCATCCATTGCCTCACACCACTCCTTGCTGTGGGGTCCCGTGAGTGCTTGCCGTGGGTTTTTAGGCTCGATGATGTGCGGCGTCGTTGAGGTGGCAGCGTGGAGCCCGAGGAGTTGCATTCCGGTGACGGTGCTGTCGTGGCGATGCTGCGGGACGACCTCCTGCACATCGTCGTCGTCGCTTTCTGGCTCTGGTGGGGCTGGTGGTGCTGTGCTTCCGCCGCTTTCGCTTCCTCCGGTTGCGCCTCCTGCTGTGCCCGCTCCTCCTTCTCCTGAATTATCGTCGTCGTCGGCGTCGTGACAATCGCCTCTCGTGAACTCGCCTCTGGGGTCTTGCTCCAGAATGGCCGCGGCAGCTTCGTCTTCTGGCGTGGCGTAGCTGTGACCGTCGTTGGCGTAGACGCGTTTCGCGTTCGTCTGCTCGTCTTCGCGAAATTGCTGGAGGAAGAGGTGCTCGTAGAAGATGACGTCGCGCGCATGCTTGATTTTCTGGCTCAGGAGGTCCAGAATGATCCACGCCTTTTACTCGTGGCTGATGCCGAGGTGGATCCCCTAGCGTGCGCGGTTCTTGAATTTGCCGATGGTTGATGTTGGCGGGCGGTACTGAACCATGCATCCCCACACACGGAGCATGGAGGTATCACCCTTAGTGCCCGTCCACTTCACGTGAGGGGATAGGTTGCCGGTGATTGCGGTGGTTGAGAGCAGGTTGTGCACCCGCACGGCGTGGTGCATCGCGTACGTCCAGTAGATTGGAGGAAGCTTCGACTGCTTCATCAGCGCGCGCACCTTCGTCATGAGCGTGCGATTGGTGCGCTCGGCTACGCCCTGCTGCTGATGCGCATAGGGGAGAGAAATGTGATGCTCAATCCCCTTTTGCGCAAGGTAATCCTGCGGCTCCTTGCTCCTGAACTCCGCTGCTCCATCAGACTGCCAGACCTTCAGCTTCTCCCCGGATTGCCGCTGTGCGTGCGCCAGCCACAGGCGGAATGCTTCGTACGCTCTGCTGCGTGCTTCTACGTTCACGACCCATACGTAGCGCGTTCCGGCATCGATGAAGGTGAGCGTGTACAACTCATCGTCGATGCCGCAATGTCCCACGTTGAGGAAGTCACTGTAGCTTAGCGTAGCGGTTGGTTCCTGGCTCGAGTAGAGGGAAAGGCTGGTGACTCAGTGCGGCCTCGGGGCAGATGGTGCAGGTGCGCGGGTGTGTTCCGCCTCTTACTTCGGAGCCGTCAGGGTGCGGGAGTGTGCCTGGTGCGAATACGCCAGCCTTGATGCAGTTCTCAAGTGTGACGCGCGAGGGGTGACCAAGGCGCTGATGCCAGAGCGCATCGTCGGCGCGGAATCCAGAGGTGCGCATGTAGCGCGCGCGTGCTTCTATGAGATCCTCGTCAGGTGCTTGAACAGGTGCTGCCACTGCTTCCTCATCTTCTTCTCCTTCTTCGTTCGAAGTCGTTAGCATCAGGGCGAGGAATTCCCTGTCGCGGATGATGGAATAGGGGATGTTAGTCCCTGGGATTGTTCCGAGGACTAATATCGGCTCGCGCAGCTCGGGAGCAGGTCCGTAGACGGTGCGTCGCGGAGTGGATGGTTCGTTGCCCCAATCGATGGTTCCCCAAGGATCGCGCTCCGGCTGGAGGTCAGGTGGAGGTAAGGCAGGTGCGAAGTGGCGCGGTGGGCGACCAAGAGGAACAATTGCAGGTGCTGCTGCTTCTTCGGCTGCTTCTTCTTCCCCCCCTTGGTCCTCGCAGGAAGCTCCCCAGCCTTCGCCAGAGGTGCCTCAACCCCCGGTTTCGCCGCCAGATGCGGCGCCCCATCCTCCAGTGGTGTCGGTGTTTGCTGCTCCCCATCCACCAGTGTTGCCGCCAGTTGCGGCGCCCCATCCGCCCGTGTCGCTCGTTCCCCATCCGCTGGTGCTCCCCCACCCCCCTTCATTGGAAGCACTGTCCTCCTCATTCTCCCAGGCGAGCGTTCCGCGCGCCTCGGCGACGCTTTTCTGACGAAGCTCCTCAGCTTCGCGTCGCGCCAATGCCTCTTCTTCCGCCACCGAGAGTTTCTTCTTCGAGTCGTGCCGGTGAGAGTATTTCCCAGCCGCCTTTTCCTTGGTGTAGGGTCGCGGCGTGCCGTGCGCATCGAAGGTGCCGACGCCAATGCCGCGAAGCATCCCTTGGAGATGTTTTTTTTTTTTTTTTTTTTTGGTGGATAAAAGTATACTACACGCATACAACCATCCGCAGTCGTAACTGTTGCCTTGGAGATGCTGAGATGCGGGTCCAGGGAGTGGGTGTTCCGGTGTGCCGAAGATAACGCGTGTCGCAGTTTCCAACTCCAAATTGGACAGTCCTTCCTCAGGCGGTGCGTCGCGTTCTGCTTCGATGATGGCGGCAAGGCCGCGGCCCGCAATTGCGCTCGTCGAGGATGTGGGCGTGTGGCAGTCCTGCAGATACCGTCTGGGTCAGGGTCATGTAGTGCCAGCTCGCGCGGATGTGGGTGATGCGGTACCCATGGGCGCCCATCAGGGTGCTTCCAGTCGCGGCGATGAATGTGTTCGAAGCGCAGGGGGACAAGGTCAATCAGCTCATGCGAATCGCCGCTGCAGTCGGTAATGTCAAAGTCAAGAACGTACACTTCGTTCTCCGCGTGTGCTCGTCCGATCTGCTTGCGTATCTTGTTCGGCATCGTGAAGTGAAGCAGTGAAAGGGACGTTGGAATATTCGAGGGGGGTTTACCCCAGCAGAGAAGAGTTTCAGGTCAGGTACCGTGAGCCTTGAGAATGCGCAGGACCTTGCTGCCAGTGACGCCCGACACCTGCGCGATACCGTGCGAGTCCCTCAGAATGACGCCGATCTGCGACGGCGTCAGACCCTTCTTCGCGAGCTTGCAGATGTGCTCGTCGACCTGCCATCAATCAGTGGACAAAAAGTGCAGAATGAATGAGCTGGACGTAAAGCGTGGCTCGAAGAATCAATTCTTTCGTCGCGAATTTGCGGATGTGCTAGGTCGTATGAGCGTGCCGGCCGACTTTGTTTTCCATGCCGACGCGAAGCCTTAACGAAAGTAAAGCGTCGGGCACTGTGTCTTTCCGAAAGGGGTATTGTATGCACATTGCCAAAAACGTAAGAATCTAGACACAGAAGCTCGTCCTTAGAGCTCACGCAGGTACGCTGATTCGGGGTTTCTGGGATGATTTCCGATGGGTGGTCAAAAAGTAAGGATCTACGTTAAGTGAGAGAACGAACGTGCCTCGGGGGCGGAGATCTTCAACCAGCTCGGAGGAGTGCGTTTGTAGGGCAGGGCGGAGCGCGAAATACCCTTTCTGCATCAACCAAGTAAGGCGCGACAGAAAAAAAAATCGCGAACTACGCGCGTCAGCGTTCCCTCCGACAAAGCAAGGAACAGCAGCGCGAGGAAAATAAACTGACCCGTGACTGTGCATACGACCCATGGCGGCGGCTGTTTAGGGGACTGCCCACAAGGCGAGGAAGACGTGAGAGATGGAACTACGGGAAAGGGAAAAGCCCGTAGCTGTTGGAGCCAAAATAGGTGTTGCAGGTTCTGAAGGACAGCCACAGAAGGACTGCTACGGGGGGCAGGAAGGGTTTGAGAACGAGAGGAAGAGAAGGGGAATCGGACATGAAAAGCCTGATCCAACGGACACCGTTTCTGCCTGTGGGGGGGAGAGGGTTTATATGACAAGTAAATTCATTTGTCACGATACCGTGTACCGTTTACAGTTTTAGGGTCGGGAAAATATGCCGTTCGTAACCATCATGGGACTCGAAAACATTTTTGGTAAAAAAATAAAGGGTACGGTCACTGCAAAGGGTGTTTTCACGCGACTGATAAAGCGTTTCACGGAATCAGTCACAATCAGCTGGTAAAAAAAAAACGCGAATGGTCACAGATGAAACTCCCGCCAAAAACAAAATGAAACCCAGAAAGAATCTGGATGCATTTTCGGATGATCAACCCTAAACACGTAACTCGCCAGGTGTTTAGGGTTGATCCGTTCCCAAACCGCATCCGATTCCGATTGGGTTTTAGTTTTTTTACAAGTTCGCAGATTGGTTGGGCGCGAGCGCGAATTTTGTTGAGTTTCAAGTTTTTTTGGCGGGAGTTACATGTGTGACCATTCGCGTGATTTTTTACCTGTTGTTAGTGACTGAATCCGTGACCCCGCTTACCAAACCCGTCAGAAAACCCGATACAGTGACCGTACGCGTTTTTTTTTTACCATTCACGTTATCGAGTTCCAAGTTGGTTACTTGTGGCATATTTTCCCTTTAGGGTCACAGCTACTTCGCAGAATGTAAACGGTATCAACTAACACATATACAAAATACATCTCACATAGCACATCATTGCAAATGACGGTTCCAATGTTGAAGCAAATTGTTGGGCTGAGAAATAGCCCTTAGGATCTTTCAAGGCTGAGACTTTGTTGAAGTAGTGATGTTGTAGTTGCGGAAGCGTAATAGTAGTATTAACTTGAACCACCTTGCACTGGTATGTGAGAACAAGATTAGTTGATAATAGCATGGGCATACAAGGCTTTTATATGATTACAAAGGAATATGGAAAGTTCTATTTTAACTGTTTCTGCTGTTGCGGTTCGATACAGTGACGACTCGGGTAATTGCTCAGTATCGAGTCAGTTATGTGTCCTTGCTGTCGCACAGCATTTTTCGTCAGGTCAAAGGTCAGTGACCTTTGACCTTCGCGTAACCTCCAGCGTTTGTCTTTAGTTGACTCGCGTGTTGTTTCGCTTGTAGTCTGCTTCGTTTCGTGTCGATGCTTCGATTACTTCAGAAACGTTTAAGTTATTTGTTTCCAACACTCCCCTTCGCTTCTAGAGTGTCGCTGCTGATGACGTGTCCTTGTACAGTCAGCAGCATGCAGTAGTCGAACTTCTGTTTTCCGAGTTTCTTGGTTAGGTAATCGGCTGCCATCTCGGATGTGGGGCAGTAGGATAACTCGAGTCTTCCCTTCTCGATTTCGTCTTTTACGAAGAAGTACCGGAGGGCGATGTGCTTCGTTCGGTTCGCAAACCCATTTTTGTTCGCTATGCGAATGGCCGATTGATTGTCGCAGAAGAGAGAGAAGCTGGGTAACTGAGCCAATTTTGCTTCTTCCAGCAATTCGCGAAGATATAGTCCTTCCTTGGTGGCTGAGCAGAGTGCGATGTATTCTGCTTCAGCTGAGGAGAGAGCAATTAGCTCTTGCTTGTTCGACTGCCATGAGATAGGGCCGATAGGTTCGAGTCGGTAGATGTAGCCAGTTCGAGATCGTCTGTTGTCGGAGTCTCCAGCGTGATCGGCGTCGACGTAACCGATTAACTTAGGTGTCGTAGTTCGGGTCTTGTGGTAGGTTAATCCGGTCGTCGGGGTGCTGACGAGGTTGTGAAGTGCACGGTCGAGCTCCAGCATGTGCTCTGCTTCAGGCTTCTTGAGGTAGGTAGCAAGTTGACTAGCTGAGTAAGATAGATCCGGTCGGCAGGTGACGGCTGCGAAGAGTAGACAGCCTAACTTCCGTTGGTAGTCGCGAATGCCGGCGGGTTTGAGTAGGGCGGAGACTTTGCGATTTCCGTCGGTGTAGCGGTATGGCGTGGTGATGGTAGTTGGAGTGAGTCCGAATCGTTTAGCGATGGTGCCCGTGTACTTTTCGGCATTGAGGTAGATTGAGTTGTCGCCGTCTTGTATGTTGAGTCCCAAGTACTGTGTCACGGTAGTCGCGACGGTGAGTGTGAGATCCCGCTGTAGCTCCCCTTCAAACCAGGTCGTTATGGTGTCGATGGAGCCTATGTAGAGGAGGTCGTATACGTAGACGATGAGTAGGATATAATCAGTACCCTTCGTGAGTCGGTACATCCCTTGGTCGTGCGGTAGTTGGAGGAATCCGATGCGGATTATGTGAATTAAGAAAAACAGGAATGAGAATGACTAAGTGAAAGTTGGGTACAAGAAGCAAACCCTAGAAAACTGTACCCCATATGTGCTACCCCACTCTAGCCTACAGTAGCTATGTCATATAAATCTGACACACCCCCATAGGCAAAGTGGGGGAGAACAAGGGGTCACAAGACCAGTCAAGCAAAGCAAAGCAAAAACAAGCTCAGGGTGGATCACAAAGTCACCACACATTCCGAGCACAAGTTCAAGGCCACAAGACCAGTTCACAAGCAGGAGTACACATATATATAAAAAAAGGCTAGACAAACAAGAGCAGGTATATATATATGTAACAGTACAAGCAAGGTCAAGAGGTGAGCAAGTGAGGCAAGGTAGGCACAAGGCCCAGCTGAGTACAGAAGCGCTGATGGTCACAAGGCGCAAGTGCCTTGGTGACGATATCAGCAGTGTTGGCCTCAGAGGCCACGTACGCAAGACGCAGCTGACCGCGCTGCTGCAGCTCACGAGCAAGAAAGTAGCGGAGAGCAATGTGCTTCGTTCTGTGCTCCAGTCGCTGCTCCCGACACAAGGCCAGCATGGCCTTGTTGTCTACGTACAGCACTGGAGGAGAACGAGGCAACTCTCCGAGGTCAGTCAGCAGGTAGGTGAGCCAGCGAAGCTCCTGTGCAGCCATGGCTCCTGCGTAGATCTCAGCCTCACAACTGGAGCCGAGAACAGAAGACGAGCGAGTAGCCCGCCACGAAACAGAGCCGGAACCAAGGCTGAAGGTGTAACCCTGTGACGACCGCTGCGTAGCCTGGTCGTCAGCCCAAGAAGCGTCTGCGTGCCCAGTAAGGACCACTGGACTCTGCCCTCCAAGCACAAGCCCCATGCCCGACGTACTGCACAAGTAGCGCAACACCCTCTTCGCTGCAGCCATGTGCTCCGGTCTGTGTCTCCCAGGAGCAACATAGCGTGCAAGAATGCTAAGAGGGTATGCAAGGTCAGGTCGTGTGCAGGTCATCAGGTACATGAGGCAGCCAACAAGCTCTGGGTACGGGCCACTCGACTCTACGGACTCATCCGAAGGCAGAGCTGAGAGCGAGTGGCGAGTAGGCAGAGGAGTGGCCTGAGGCGAGGAGTACGTGAAGCCGAAGCGCTGAAGGACCTGCTGCACCATGTGTGACTGAGTCAGGGTAATGGTGCGGCGTGCTCTGTCCCGAGTGATCTGCAAGCCAAGGTAGCTGCGCAGTTCACCCAGGTCAGTGCACGTGTGTCTCTTCTGCAGCTCGGACTTCACGTGGGCTAGTCCAGCAGTGTCAGCTGTGGCAAAGACCAAGTCGTCGACGTACACGAGGATGTAGAACGGCGGCAAAGAAGTGTCGGTGCGCAGAAACAGCGACGGGTCGGCAGTAGAGGGAGCAAACCCAAGAGCCGCAAGTGTAGTCCTCAGTGTGTCGTGCCACTCACGTGGTGCCTGGCGGAGACCGTAGACTGGCCGCTGTAGGCTCCACTGGGTGCCAGGAGGAAAAGACCCAGTGAAGCCAGGTGGGCGACGCAGCCAGATCTCCTCGTGCAGGCTGCCCTGCAAGAAAGCAGTGCTGAAGTCAAGAGAGTGTAGCTCGTAGTCACGGTGAGCAGCTACGTGCAGCAGTACCCGAAGAGTGGTCATCTTCGGGGTGGGAGAGAAGGTCTGAAAGTAGTCAACTCCCTGCCGCTGACTGAAGCCACGAGCCACGTAACGCGCCTTGAAGACAGGCGGAGAACCCGGCGGTCGCTTCACCCTGAAAATCCACATGCCACTGACGATGTTCGCCCCAGGAGGGGGAACAGCGTCAACGTAGGTGCCTGTGGACTTCCAGGAAGCCATCTCTGCGTCCATAGCTGCCTGCCACTGAGAGGAGTAGGGACCCTCTATCGCCTCCGCGTAAGAGCGCGGAGTCGGGATGTCAAGTGCATCCGGGTCTCCCTCAGGGGTAAGCAGTACGGACACGAGATGAGGTGAAGCAGCGGCCAAGCACTGGAACTCCTCCTGCCTGTCCTCAAGGA